GGAGCCAGGGAGCAGACGCTCTCAAAAGAACGTCTTTCAAAGCTCGCGGAGCCAGCAGAAGTCGAGCCTGAGTCTATTTCCATGGGGCATGGGGCCCCTTCCACGTAGACGGTCACGTGGAACTTGTCGGACCCCTCTGCTGCAGCATGTGCAATTGTTGTCTGGTGGATCCCTCTGCTCTTGGGGTGGCCGTCGCCATCTCGCCGCGGGTACTGGGACCGTTTGAATGTCCTCTGGTATTCGCGGTCCGTGGGTCTGGGAGGCTCAAAACTTGGCTCTGCCGCCCTGCAGGCTTCCGCAATGTGGCCCTTCCTCTGGCAGCATCTGCAAGTTGCATCCCGCCAGCGACATCTGGCACGAGGATGGTCCCCTTTGCAGCTGGCACAACGTTCCTCCCGTCCACCATCTTGGGGTTTTTCCCACCGTTGGGGGTCTTGTGACCTTATGGACGGCCATCTCAGAGTCAGAGTCCGACCCCGTGGAGGTCTCGTCCGATGATGGCTGTGGGTTCCTGCAGACCTTGTGGGTCCCCTTGGATCTTCTCATTGCGGCTGCTGCCCTATCGGAGGACTCGGCGGCTGTGGCTTCTTCGATGACCTCTTTTAGGGACACTTTCTTTCAACTGAGGAGCTTTTTCTGTACTGTGCTGTCCCTCATGCCGAAGACGATGCGGTCCCGCAGCTGAACGTCCACGTTTTCAAATTCACAGCTGGCCACGATCTTCCGGAGCGCCAAAACGAATTCCTTGACCGATTCTCCTTCTGCTTGATTTCTCTGGTGGAAGTCGAATCGGTTGGCCAGAGGGTGCTTACTGGGGCGTAATGGTCCTGGAGCACTTCCTGAAGCTCGGACCACGGCATCTGCTCGATATCCAGCGGTGCCACGAGGTCCATGGCCATTTCCAGGACCTCCGACCCGCAGTGTGCCAGGAAGAGAGCCCTCTTTCTGCTGTCATCTAGGTCTGTGAAGCCGCTTCCCGCCAGGAACTGCCTGAAGTGAACCATGAAGGACTTCCATTTCTCAGTGCTCGGGTTGAATGGAGCCATTGAGATTTGTGGTCCAGACATGGTAGTGACTTAGCTCGTGCTTCAGCTCTTTGCTTAAGGTGGCAGTTGGCTTGCAGCTCTTCGTTGGTTCTTCTCTAGTCCTTCGTCGCCAGTGTTAGATCGGCGCTGGAAAGAAACGTGACTCAGCTCTGGTCCGTTCAGCTCTTTATTAGAATGGTGAAAAACAGACTGCTGGCAGTGGCTCCCGAGCCTCCTTATATTCTGCTCGGGCCAGCCACCCAGCCAATGACAGCTGTTCAAACTTCCCGCCGGTGGAAGTGACCAATCCCCCGGCGGATGTCCTTATAAGGACATAACAGGCAGTGTACAACAAAGCTAAAACAGCGAATAAAAACAGTTATCATCATTACTGTAATTATAAAAAAATTTTAAAAACTATAAAGACAGAATAAAACAAGGAAATATGTTGATTGTTGTTACGTGCTGATGATTTACAGTATGTCTAATGGGTATTTATATATATAGTATCCTATACTGAAATTATTATAGACATGTACATACAGTACACTCCTGTTCTACACAAATGGAGCTATATTTCATATTTACCCTCTAGGGAAGAATTTGTAGAAACTGGAGATTTACCTGGGTTTCCTGTGTATTTAATACCTTGGGTATCTAAGAATAACTATTCCAAGGAAATTTGTTTCCTTGTTTCCATATGTAAACATATCAAATTGTTTATTTATTAATATTGATATAAATTGATGGTTAATGGTCTGACAAACATTGTTATGGCTGCACATTTTTCTACTACTTTGAGTTAGGAATCAGGCAGTCATTCAATACTGTACTGAAGCATAAAATATCACAATTAAAAAAATAAAATCTTCCTCCCCAAATGCAGTCCTACCACCAGATAATGTGACTCCACCGTTTTGCAATTCCAAGCCCCTCAAAAAGTACTTTGTAATCCAAGGAGACCAAAAGGTTGCCAATCCTTGCAATTAAATAATTATAAATAGAAAATTAGCCAAACAGGAAGTAGGCTATGCAAAAGCTATTTCTTCCTATAGTTATACTTGTAGATTTTTTTTAATGTGTACTATCAGAACTTCCAGCTGCAGCCAGAAATAGGGTAGCACAGAAACAGGTTTACCACTAAAGTAAGTTCCTATTACGTCATGTTTAAAAATTCTTGTACAAAAATTAAAATATGTTTAGCATTCCCAAAACCTAAGCAACATATTTTACTAAACTCATTTAAGTTACTGATTATATATTTCCTCAATAGATTACCACAGTTTTTTTCCTCTTACTCCTGCTCTAGATAAGATTTATTTAGATCTCCTCTATCAGAGAAATGTGTCAACTCAATCTTGGAGGCAATCAATCATTTAAAATCCTTTTAGCCTTCTCCTTCAAACATCCAGATAATATTATGACCAGCCATATAGCAAGAGTACATCTCTTTACAATATAGAAATACATTTACATTGCAATTTGGATCTACACCTGTGCAATTTCTTAATGAATGATTGACCTGTCAACATGTCTCTGTGCCCTTGCATATGGATTAATGATTTCAGTTTTCAGAATGTTCACTCCTGGAATGAAATGCACTGAGATCATACTATATCTATGAAATTGCTGTTTTCTTTATCTTCGTGAGCCATTTTTATAATGCAATGACACGTGCCATAGCTTCTTACACAATATAAAATCCCCTCTCTTGCTTCTCCTCCAGGAGATTAACCGGAGGACTCAGCTGATCTTTAGCTGGAGCTCTCGAGATTCTAGCTACTAAGATAAAAAACCACAGACCTCAGACAGCAATTCTTTAAACCAAAGATCTCAAAATGGAACACTTCCTGCATCGTATTTCCCTTATGAAGCAGCTTCTTTCAAAGCCCAGCCTCACAGCTAGTCCCTCAGTTGTTTTGAGCATTGACAGTGTCTTAGCTTCAGACCATGAGACTATAGCTTATCATCAAGTCAACATTATGTTCACATTAATCCTTTGGGTTCACGATCCTAAAATATTAAGAGTTTTAAAAATTAAAAAGTTGAGTTGCATCCCAAAACTAACTATGAGGTTACAAACATTATACTATTGTAACAAATGCTCTAGAAATGGTTAGACCTTTGTTGCAGCATCTTACAGCAGGTGAAGGTTAAAATATTATTAAAGACATCACATGCAAAATCTAACCTATTTTAAGTCCTGTGAATGTGCCCTTTCTGAAATTCACACAACATTCTAGCATATAAAAATACTAGCTGCAGTTTAAAATGATAACATTAAGAACAAAGCTAAAGAGTAAGAGAACTAGTATGATGTAGTCCTTACTGGGTTGGATTACAGGTAGGAGATCAAGTTCATCCTCAGTCAATGAAGCCCACTGGGTGACTTTGGATCAGAGGTTCTCTCTCTCAGCCCAACCTACTTCAGAGGCTGTGATTGCAGGGAAAAACAAGAGGAGGGAGCACTAGGTAACCCAGATTGAGCTCCTGATTGAAAGGTGGGATACAGATTTCCAATTAAATAGTATTTAATAATTATAGAGTAAGGAAGTGCAGCAATTGCAACCTCAAGAACTGTTTCCATTGTATTAGTTAGCCTTCCAAATATGTTGTCGGCATGGGAATTACTGTCTGAGCAGATTATACAACCACAGGAACAAAACTCATCACATGTAACTTTTTGACATCACTGCCAATTATTCAGAAGTAAACTCCAACCAAGTTGAGTTGAGTTAATTAAGTCTAAGAGGGCTACATGTATGGCAAAACTTCCACACCTGAAATCATAGTCCTGACAAGCACCTAAGGAAAGCAGCAAAATGTGAAGTTTGCCGTTAAACAACCTTAGAATTTATTTGCAATTAATATGATTTATTCAAGAATGTATTATGTTATGAACATCTTCAGCAGAATTTGTAATAATTGCAGGTTCTTACAGAAAATCTGGAGATGTAAATCAAGTCAACATTTGAAAAGGAGACCATATACATCTCAAAGGAAGAGTAGCACAGTGTATATATGGAGAAAAGTTCAACTTGAATTGAACTTCAAATTCAATCTACCAGCATAGATGGAAAAATTTATCAAACTACTTGCATTCATAGATACTGTACATACAGTATGTACTATTGTATTTATTGCACAAATAATCCAGACTACACCTGACTAACCTGAAAGTATACTTTGGAGCCACAGTAGAAAAAGGGCAAGTTGTACAGTTCATTAGGAAGGGAACCACCAATGTAACAATACTCATATGCAAATCTATGATGAAACCATTTGCCTGCAATACTAGTCACTGTTCCTCAAGAATATTATACAACTAGAAAATATACAAAACTGTGTAATGTTTAGGGAGGGTGGAGCAGCTCTCCTGTGAGGAAAAACTCTAGTAGATGGAGCTCTTATTTTGGAACAAGGGTGAATGAGAACACAAAATCACACATGGTTGAGATAATATGGAGAGAGCTTTTCTCCCTCCCTCACAATGTTAGTAATTGAGGTCATCCACAAACTAAATGCATAGAGATTCAGAACCATCAGAAGTTAATATTTTATGAGACAGTGCACAGTTAAATGGCAGCTAATGTGGGTGGCTTGAAAAGGGTTCACAGAGGAATAGGCAATTAGTGGCTTACAAATATTTACAGCAATTTATTACTCTAAATAGAATGCCTTAAATGCTGTTTGTTGGGAAATAACATCCTAATTCTACTGTTTTTTAACCTGGGTTTATCAGTCTTTCAAATGCATCCAGTTGGCCAACTCGTGACACAGAATGCTAGACTAAAAGGACTTCTAGCCTGATCACGCAGGATTCTTCTTATGTTCTAATAATTCTTCACATTATAGGGATGAAACAAAGTAAACACAATTCTACCTCTATTTTCACAATGCTTAGATTTAAAACTGTGCTAAATTTTATTTCAGCTGCAGTAATAATTAAGAGGTCCATGTGTTAGCCTAAATTACCTGTGTCTCTGGCAGCCATGACCTTCATGCTCTGGGAGACAATTACTTGGGCTGGAAGTGTCAAATAGCAAATGGGTTCGCAAAGCCACTGCAGAGATGCTCACAGAGAGAGAGGAGAAGTTGAACAAGGCATAGGTGATTTGGTGGGAGGCAATTTTTCCAGTCATGTTGATGACCAGGGGATTCTGCTGACATGACAGCTCTGATGTAGCTGAGAGAAATTAAAAGAAAATATATTTTTTAAAAAATCATGGTGAAATCTCTCTAAATTAAAAAATAGGTAAGAGTTCCTGGAATTTTTTTGTGGGGCAAGGGTGGGTTTCACCATAGGGTGGAGGAAAAACCATAAAGCTTGAAGAGCTATAGTCTTCACAACTTTGCCATTGCAGCATTCTTCTCTTTTCCTCAATGCAGAGCAATGGTACCTAATAAGAGTGCCAGGGTGGTGGGGCACAGGAAAGTCTATTCCTGTCCCACCTCTTAATAGAGGGAAAGGGAAGAGAAACAATATGTTAATATTGCCTAATTTAATACTTTGGGATTTCAACTGCCATCTGGGAATCAATAAATTTGAAGAGAGCCAGATCTGGGAAAGTGCTTTAAAAGTGGCAGAGATATCTTTATGAGATGATCTTTATGAGATATCTTTATGAGATGAAAGCAACACCCACTTTTTACTTGCACTACAATCTAGAGGAGTTGTTGGGTGCTTTAAAAAATAGTTCAGTTTCTGTTTTCAATACTGTCACAAGAGAACTTCACTGCCATCTTTAGCTTGAATTCATACTAAGAGCTAAATAGTTTTCAAACTACCAATTAGAGCACTTCTGAAAAACAGTATTTGCCCTACTACTAATCTATCACTGCAATAAATAAGTGGTTTTTCATGTACTTAGGATGATATGTGGCCAGGCCCATAAAGGCACATCAGACTTTATAGTGTTCTGCAAGAAATGGGATGCTGGACAATAGACAGTCACAGGCAAAGATATTAGCACAATTCTGAAAAGTAGGAAACTTAAAAATCAGTGCTTTGAAAGGATGCAGCATATTGACAAGCTAGCAGGAAATAAGTGCTTCTTTGTAAAAATCCTTTTGCTTTAAACTCTAAAGCAACATAGAGTCAAAGTAGGCAGGCACACTCTGCTGAGCAGTGATATTTTAGATTGCAGGTATTCAAATCCATGAATGTTCCTCAACATAAAATGATTTGGAACATAAAAGCCAACTTGTTTTAGAACAAATTCTAAATTAAGAATTTTCTCTGACCTTTGAATTTTTTTTTTTTTTTTTGAGGGGAAAGGGGGGAGGTTATTCAAAACTAGTATCTGTAATTTGACATGAGGCAGCTCATTAACATCAAATGAAGCTGACCTATATAACACAGAACATTGAATTAAAGCAATGTTTTGTTTCCTTTGGTGTACGCTACAAAATATGCTTAGTGGGGCAAAGCCAAGATCAATCTACATTTTGTAAGAGGTATTTACTCTACCAAATCATCTGAAGCTGTCTGGGAATAAAGAAAGAAAAATATTCTTTCAATTTTATTAATGCATTGTTCCTCACAAAAGCAAAGAAAGAAAGGAAGGAAGGAAAATGTTGTGTTAATTTCACAGAAATGCCTAGATAAATGTTTAGTATATCACTTACAGACTCACCAAGGAAATGGTTGTGACCATTGATGTCACCCAAGTGTATTGTCATGGATGGTTTGAGATGGTCACCATTGGAAGTGCCCACAGATGCCAGGAAAACAAAGAGTGAAGTAGCCATTCTGGGCTGGCTGAAACACACCTGAAGAACACCAGTACATGGCAAAGTCTGAGTATGTTATGGTATGAGCAAAAACAGCAGATCTGTCACAGAAGTGACAGAAAAACAGAACCTCTTCTTTACCGTATTACTCATCCTTGCTATCCTAGAATTTTCCTATTTAAATCTGAAATTGAATTCATTTTGTTTGACTATTTAAATTGCTCTTCAAAATTATTGTTTGAACTCTCAGAGCTATTAGGGGTGGTAATTTAACTCCCTATTTCATTTTCAGGAAAGCCCAGCCAATAACAGATCATATATAAGAACATGCATTGACGTTAATCTAACGTTAAGCAATATGCTTCCTTAACTAAGCAAAACTGAAACCCAGTAAGTGAGGTAGGAAATGGCTTTCCATGGACCCACTGCAGAAAAAATTCAATTAATAGCATTTGAAATTTAGCTTGATCCTTCAGTATTCAGTATCCATGTGGAAAGTTATCAAGGGTCACTCTAAGGATTTCCAGACATTCAAACTGGGAAACCCTCTGATTCCCACAATTTAGTTTTCTAAACAATTTTCTTCCTTATTCTGATTCAGCGGTTATTATTATCTATTTTCTCCGTGGCTGAACATCCCCTGTGAATCAGATCAAGACTAGGGTAAGAGAATGAACACCCACAAACTGATGCTTTCACTTTTGTGCTGCAATAGGGTAGAGTTGGGGAACACTATCCGCATATTAATTTTATTTTAAACATGTGGTTCAGAACCATCTCTGTTCTTCAGGACCATCTCTTGGTCATTTCTGGAGATGCATCATGGAAGCCAGAGGTATGTAATTTATAAAATAAACAAATAAACACAAAACCCATAATCTAACAGGTAGATATCTTACATTAGTGGAAATGGCAAAACTGGTCAGGGAGGAAACAACAGAGAAATTTTAAAATCCTGGAAAACGTTTATGAAATATTTGCTTTAAAAAGGTGAAATGATGTTTTATGGGTTTAATAATAAAAAAAATGAAAAATATGGGGTTGAAGGGATTTCTGGAATAGTTAACAGGGAGGGAAGCTTATTGGTTTGTTAAAATCTATTAGAAAGAATGTCAGAAATCCTGTAGTTTCTTTTCTTTCATTAGTTCTTTTCTGTTTTTCTTTTTTATTGCACTTTCTTTTTTTTCATTTCTCTTCTCTATTTTCTTTAGATTTCTTTGTTTATGGAAAAGTATTTAATAAAAATTATTTTAAAAATGTGTATATCCTGACATTTGTTATTAAGTATTATTTATTTATTCTCAAATTCATTTTATGTTCAACATATTTTCTTCTCCATTTTGATACTATTCTGCCTCATTGTAAGGGGACAAGGTTGTTCTTGGGAGAGCTGAGTAAAGAATACTTCCAGCAAAGTCCACTCAAGGCATGACAGTGTAGCTAAAGCTAGCAAGGACACAATATTGGGCAGCAGCAATATAAGATGATGGAGGTGGATGATCACTTCAAAGGCAATGACCAAGGTATCATTTCAGCAGAAGGCAATACTATTCCTGTGTTTTACCAAACTGTCTACATAGATGGACAATATAAAGAGGCTGACAATATGCGTTCCAGATGATCTGGTCATCAAACTGATGGAACTCAATATGTTACTGAGGAAGAGCTGAGGATCAAATGGTATTAATGATGTGTCAGGATTAAAGCTTTTGAGATGTTGCTGATGCTAACATACAGAAAAAGAAAATCTGAAGCTATAAGGAATTACAGCTAAAAAATGGACTGTAAAAATCATAATGCAGAGAAAACTCAACACAGTTAGCAGTGAAACAAATCATCCACACATTGATATCTTAGGCACCAGCAAACTGAAATAGTCTGGAAATGGACACTTTCAGTCAGAAAATCTTACTGCTTACTGTACAGGGTGTGAATAACTCTGAAGCAATATTATTGCTTTCATAGTCAGAAAGACAGTATTTAGTAATAATGAAGTTAATGATCAAATGATATCAACTGGATTGCAGACATCTTTATAATATGATAATTATACAAATATGTCAATATCAAAATGGCAGAACCTGCAAGAAACGTGTACTGCTTAGGGTTGGAGACTGGAATGCTAAAGCTAGAAAGAGTAAAGAAGAAAATTTAATTCAGTTGTATGAACTAAGAAGCAGAAGCCAGGAGAATGCCTTACCAGTTTCTGCCAAAGGATTTATTTATCAAATAAATCCTTTGGCCTTCAAACAAACAAAATAATGATTGTTTAAGTGGACATCCTAGATGAAGTGCAATGAAATCAAATTGATTCTGTTATCAGCATAAAGTAGAAGACCAGCAAAGATGTGACCGTGGACAGACTGTGAAACAGATCACGAAGTGTTCATGTGAAAGTTCCAAGATAGGCTAAAGTGGAAGAAGAAAGCCAATATAATTTTCAGCATATGCCCAACATTTTCAAAAATTATCAGGAATGGTTTGAACCCCTGAACCTTATTGATAGAGAACCAAAGGAACTATGAAACTATGAAATCAAAGAAGCTGTTAAGCATGCATCCATGAGAGGCAAGGAGGGCATATGTATATGTATATATATATATGTATATGTATATGTATACTATATCTATATCTATATCTCTATATCTATACTATTATATATAGTATATAAAAGAGAGTCTGAAAAGAGTCTGCGAAGACCAAGAAGCAGCAGAAAGTAAACTGGATGTCAGAATAAATAGCATAAATTGCCAAGTGGAGAAGAGAAGTCAAAGCCAAGATCCCAGAAAGGGACTTAACAAAGAATTTCAGATAACTGTTTAGCAGTTTTACCATGACATTTGTAAAGACATTGGTGATAGAAACAGAAAAGAAAGAAACAAAGTATTTCAAAAGATCTCCAAACTCAGAAGGAATTTCTAACCCCGAACTGATATGTTAAAAGAACAGATAGCAACAGATTCAAAGAAAGTTTTAAAAAATGAATGGAATACCATATACTAAAATTTGATAAAACGGAGATGTCCACTGTCAAGTTACCTTATAAAATATTCCCTATTCACAAGTTAGATCAGCACTCTATTTATTCCTAGGTTACAGGAATTGATAGACTATCTACAGAAATACAGCAAGCAACAGAAGAATCAGTAAGAGTTCTAAGCAAACTATTCCAAGCATTTCTGGAGAATACCACAATGACCTACATATTGGAAGAAGTCATCTTCCCTTCCAGTATCAAAAAAGGGAAACTTAACAGAGTATGGAAACTATTGTACAATATCATTAATTTTGTGTGGAGGCAAAATTATGCTTAGGATCAGCCAATGCAGTTTCAAGTCCTATATGGAAAAGAAGATGCCAGAAAAGGCCAAGGAACATGAGATACAATTGCTGATAGATGCTGGATAATTGAAAAAGCCAAACATCAAAAAGAAGTTCTCTGCTTCATCCACTATAGAAATTTGCTTGATTGTGTTGATCACATCAAATCAAAGAATGGGAATCTCTGAACGTGTCATTGGCATCAATTTGGTCCAACAACAAATCAAGGAGCTCATCAACTAGACACACCTGGATGTCAGCATTCACACAGAATTGTTTACCATATTAAATGTCTACATGAAATCTACTTTTTAAAATTATTTTGGTTGTCCTTTAGGAATATCTAGCTGGGGGTAAAAGATAAGGCGATTAAAATTGTAAGAAAAAGCATTGTGCAGCAGCACTACGTATAAATAAAAGGACTCTTTCCTCTTTCATTCACAGTGAATTGGGCTTTTCATCCCAGAAATAGTTCTGAAGAAAAAAGACAGTAAGAGCCTTGTAAAACATCAGGGATTGTAGGGTATTCAAAGTTGTAGTGAAGCAGAAGATTAGCATTTAGCAGTTTATAATGCTTAGCAGTTAAACCATAGTTAGCTGCCAAAACTCAGTATGATCAACCTGGAGATCAGCATGCACATATTAATTGCCATTTTTTCTCAATATGTGTTCATTATGTGACTGCCAAATTCACTCACTTTCAGCCAAATTCTGTCATTCAAATGAGCTTTCTCCATGTCTGTGTCCTGAAGAACATCATTTTTCATACAAGGAAACCAAGCCAGCTGTGATTCACTCTCCAGGATCTCTTGATGATGGGGCCTGCACACCTAAAAAAAGGGAGACTTTCAGTGCTTCCTGGAGTTGGAGAGACACTTTTTATTACATCAGAAACAATATGAAAAGCAGGGGAACCATTACAAAAATCCAAAATCCATATTAGGAAAAATAGTTAAGCCAGTTCAGTTTGGAAATATGTAGAATATTTGTGACCCTGAAATGACCTAATAAAAATACTGGAATTCAGAACTAGAAATAACTAAATGTTGTTGTTTTTTTTGTTTGTTTCTTTTAGAAGTTCTATTTTAAAAAAAACTTTTGTTAACACACACACACACACACACACACACACACACACACAGCTGGCCTACTTGCCTTGGATTTCCATCACTTCCCATTTAATGATCCGTGTGTCTCAGGGTTATGACAGCAATCGGGACTGCTGGGATTGCCATCACCAAGCGATGCAGTCAGGTAATGTCACACTTTGTGATTTGCATTGCTTAGTGACAGAAATTCTAGCCCCATTTGCTGTCATAACATGAGGTCTACCTACATGGTCATCTTTATTTAAAACCATTGTGTAAAACTTTAAAGAGGCAAGCTAATATATACATCATACATACACCCACATTGCTATTCTTTGTGTTTCTTAATACAGGTAATCCTCGATTTACAACAGTTGATTTAGTGACCATTCAAAGTTACACTGAAAAATAGGACTTATGGCCATTTTTCACCATTGAAACTTTCGCAGCATCCCCATGATGAGGTAATCAAGATGCTTGGCAACTGGTTGATATTTATGACTGTTGCTGTGTCCCAAGATTAAGTGATCACTTTTTGCGGCATTCTGACAAGCAAAGTCAATGGGGAAGCCAGATTCACTTAACAAACAGGTTACTAATTTACCAACTGCAGTGATTCACTTAACAACTGTGGCAAGAAAGGTCGTAAAATGGGGCAAAAGTCACTTAACAAATGTCTCACCTAGCCACATAAATTTGGCACTCAATTGTGGTCGTACGTCAAGGACTACTGTATTGGGTTTTTTAAAAAAAATTAATAAATAAGGGTAAAAGTTGAAAATATTCAGAGTTTTAATCATTTGCACAGTAGTTTCTGCATGAGGACTCTGTGGGGATTGAGTCCTTGTATTTGGTTGTGGCATGAGAGATTTTATGAGAAAGTATTTAAAATACTGATGGTTTTATTGGAAGACTGGAGAAGAGGAAGTTAGTCCACATCTCCTTCGCTTAGGTGCATGGTATATAGAAGTTTATATTCTCATGCCATGGTTAAGTATATTAAAAAGAAATTAAGCATTTATTTTAGTCTCTAACGGGTTTTCTTAGGTTTATATTTTTGAGGGGGACACACTGGTGTAGAATAGGATCTTTTTAATTGTCAAACCAAAACTCTTGCAAAACAGATACTCCTTAACTTTAAAATTATAGAAACCTGATATAAACAAATAATATTTAACCCTGATGGTCTCATACTTGGCAGGAATAGGTGCCAAGTTTAAAGTAAGATAGGCTTGTCCTTGGCAAATTTCAGTGAGATGAGACCATCAAAAACAGATGTGAGTAATGATGATTCAGAGCCTACAGTATATAATTAGTCAGAAATCCACATGGATGGCCTTTGATGCAGATCTAACTGGGAGGTCGCTAGCTGTGAAGAAGTTCACCCTTCATTGTCTCTTTGGATTTTCCTGAATGTCATAAGACACATAGCTCTTTCTTATTTTCTCTGATTTTTTTCTTGAAGTCTTGAAAGTTCTTTGATTGCTTCATCTTATGTCATTATGTTGCTTCTTTATACTACCCTAGAATAAAGCCTAAAGCATTAATGTTGGTGACATTATTGCTTCCGAATCCAGAAAAACCTGTGACCTAACACACACAGGGCTGAGACAAAGCAATATAGTATTTAAGCACATAAGTTCTCATTTGTAACCTGATATAACATAGCCAGACCACTGGAAATAATAAGGCCTAATTCTCCTGAAAAAAACAAAAACAAAATTCAGCTCCTTAAATTTTTAACTGGTATGTGAAAAATTAAAAATGAAACATGTAAGTGTAAAGTATGTGGTCTACTACTGACCTAAAATTAGGGCACAAAGGAAGTGTTTATACTGAGGGAAGAGTTACTGAGGGAAAACTATAGGAGTGGCAGAACTTAAGCTCCCTCATATCCTCTGGGAATGAAATTGCTCCTCCATTTTGCAGAAGAATATATTTTCTATTGTATTCTATTATGTTCTGTTCTGTACCGTTCTGTTCCGTTCCATTCTGTTCCATTCCAGCCCAGCCCACCCCATCCTATCCCATCCCATCCCATCCCATCCCGCCCTATGATTCTATTTTTCTATGTCATTTCGAAGCAGAATCAACAGTTGGCAGACGTGGAATGCTCGGAACAGCCATTTTTGTGAAAGAAAAAAAGGAAACAGACACCTTCACAAGAGGTTCTCCAATCACCATAGAGGCTGGACATGTTTTCTCATCTTGGTGGGATGCATAGGCATCTGATGCCCACTGATCCACATAATCTTTTGGGGTGAAGAGACCACAATCTGCAATGCTGTTCCTTTCCTCAAACGGCTCACAAATGCCATCACCTTCGTGGACATAGCATAGACTTGGTTCACCTGCAATAGTCAAAAGTATGCTAGGATGATAAATCTCAAATTTTATATCTATCATTTAGGTATAATCTTCCTCCCTCTCTTCATGCCTGAAAGGTACAGTACATTTGCAAGAGATCATTGTGAACAAATGAGGAATTCCAAATTCCATTAATATTGATCCAGGAAAATTTGAGTGACATTCTTTTAAATGCCAATCAGTAACATTGTTCTGATTTTGACTTTTTTCCAAAATGGAAAGAAATTTAAGGAAAGCCATACAGATAGTCCTTGACTTACAACAGTACATTTAGTGACTGTTCAAAGTTACAACAGCACTGAAAACTGTGACTTATGACTGTTTTTCAAAGTTACGAACTTTGCAGTATCCCATGATCATATGATCAAAATTTGGATGCTTGGGAACTGGTTCATATTTATTACCGTTGCTGTGTCCCAAGGTTAAGTGATTACTTTTTACGACCTTCTGACAAGCAAAGTCAATGGGGAAGCCAGATTCACTTAACAACCGGGTTACTAACTTATCAACTGCAATGATTCACTTAAGAACTGTGGCAAAAAAGATCATAAAATGGGGCAAAACTCACTTAACAACAGAAATTTTGGGCTCAATTGTGCCTGCAAGTCAAGGACTACTATATTCTAATGGGGAGGACAAATCTGCTGCCTTCCATAGAAATCAGCATTCTTAGACTAGACTTTTTAAAATGTATTTAAAATGTACTTTTTATGCAGAATCTTTATTTTTTTCAGTTTTGAGACAGAATGTGATGTGATAAATGTGCAGCAAATATCTCCTAGTATCATGAGGAATACCCATAGCAAATTGTAGATAGGCAGAATTTTGTATAAAGAGAAGGGGTGCTGGGGGCACTCCTGTCATGGGCTGAGGCCCTCACTCTCTTTTCATTAAAAAGGGAATGGCTCATTTCTAAGAATGCTTATAAAACATCTTCTAATGTCACATTGCCTTCAATGAATGACTAGCAACCCTGTGTCCCCCCAAAATAAGACATCCCCTGATAATAAGCCCAATCGGGTTTTGAGCACATGGCAATAAGGTCAAGCACTTATTTAAGGGTTCAAAAAAATATAAGACAGGGTCTTATTTTCGAGGAAACACAGAATTATGACTGGGTCCACAAATTCCAAGATAAATCACCGAGCCACATTGCCTTTTCACTGGGCTAAAAGATTCAACCTCTGGTAAAAATGACAAAAGATCTAGGAACTTATTCTATTCTATTCTACTCTGTACTGTTCTGTCCTGTCCTGTCCCATGCTGTCCCATGCCATCATCCCATCCAGTCCGCTCCCATCATATTCAGTCCCTTCCCATCACGTCCCACTAAGTAAGCTAATCTTCCTACTACTGTTGTACTTGCACAATTATGAAAATTGGGCTTTTCTAATGGGCAAACATGCTTTGTGTAGACCACAGACCTTTTGACTATATTGTCATAGCTATATCAATTTGGATGCCGTAATGGAGAGATCTAAAAAAATCAAGGTGGGCAACTTCAGGCCAGGATCATTGATATGACATTTAAATTCAGAGTTAAATTTCTGAACTCTGCCAAATCTCAGGTACAAGATTCAAAAATGTGTATGTAAGTAAGACAAAGCTACAGCAAAATTATAGTGAAACCAATAGCAGTGGGCTAACGTTTTTAGACTCACCAATACAATGGTATCCTCTTTCTTTTTTACAGTTTCTAGAGCAACCATCCCCATCTAATAGGTTTCCATCATCGCACTCCTCTACAAGACTCCTAGGAAAATAATATTAGCATTCTTAACATTTATACAATACTTAGAACATTTGGAACTCATATGGATCCTTAACACAGCTTCTCCAGGGAAGGACACAGTTGGCTGAACTACAGTATAAACTCCCATCTTAAAAAATCAATTTTATTCTTACTTCCACAGAGAGGCAGAGCTAATATGGAACTATCCTGCTTTTTATTGCAAACTTGAAGAAATAATTCTTCTTCGATAAAACAAAGGGCTGAGCTAGCATTTTGTTGTGAGTCCCACTGAAACCAAGAAGATAACTGGGCATTCCAATATATATTCAGACAGGCATTTAAACACCCATCTGATTTTGGCCAGAAATTCTTTAAACAAGAATATTCTAAGGGTCTTCCGGGGCACTGTGGGAAGGACTGGGGAGTATGCCTGGAAAACAAACAGTCCAGGTTATGTTACTGTGGCAGTCATCTTCAAACAATGGAACTTACCTGCTTACTTGCCCATCCCCACAGTAGGACGAGCCATGGATGTGGAACAGAGACGGGGAGGGTTCACTTATAGCAGCTCCTGCTATAGCCTGTACTTGGTATTCATATTGCTGGCCTATTGTGACATCCCTGGGGAAGTAAGTAAGCAGAATTATATTTTACGACAGAAGCAAGCCATAGAGGACATCTCTACACTGCATAGAAATGCACACTAGGAAAAAGCAGTTATGGTCCATAGACTCAATATACCTCACTTCCTCCAGTGACGTATTTCCACATTCCAAAGATACCTCATGTATCTATAAAATCCATCAGCCAGAAAACCTGTGGCTATTCATAATGGAACTTTTCATGCAAGTAACACAGAGAAACTTAATAAATTGGTGTTTACATTTTATGTTTCTGCAATATTCCAAGAAGAAAATAGCTTACCGGTTTCGTATTTTAGAAGATATTTGTCTTCTTGGAAAAGTCTTGCAGAATTTCTAGTCAGGGAGACAGAGCATGGCTTGCTCCCTGCTGAAAAAGGGGACAAGACTTGGCTTTTACAATGTGAGCCAGGAATTCCTATAACAAAGTACCCTATCCAAAATAAAAGATCCAATATATGCTTCTCTCTGCACCAAACTAAACAATTCCGGTGTAAGCAATTACAGTTTGTCTGAAGTCTTGATTGCATCCCAGTCTGGCTAGAAGGAATCTTTCAATCTGAACAGTTGGAAGTCCCTTCAAATCCAAAGATTAACCTAGAACACGGGTGTCAAACTTGCGGCGTCACAGCAGCATCACATGATGTATTGGGACTTTTTTCCCCTACAGTAAACCAGTGGAGCGGAGCCAGCATGTGATGCATCTGGCCCGTGGGCCGCGAGTTTGACAGCCCTGACCTAGAATGTTTAGATGAAATCTTGTCTTTAGGGCCATTCCACTATCAGTCCTTCTAATTGGGAATCAAAACTTGCGAACTAGGATGCCATCTTAGACGTTAAATGATGAAAGATCCCACATCTGCAATAAAATCCCTCCAACCACATTGCTTTGCAAATGCATATCTTCATCCAGGAAAATATATCTTTCGTAGTATGAAAAAAGTCCTTGTTGAAGCAGTCTGAATGCTTCTAATTGAATTGGTGAAGTTTTGTTCTCTTTTTGCCTTTACAGACATCTCTTGGCCACTGTCTTATCCTGGCATATAAGCACATGCTGTTTCTAGGTAACATATCAGGAAAACCAACCAGAGTTTACAGAAGTCAGTGATATGTGATTCTTCATACAATCCCACTTGTGCTGTTTAGGCTTTCAAAGGAGTTTCTCAATCCAAAAGATTAGTAACTGCAGTGAATGTCATAGGTAACTGACTATTAACAACCAGAGAATAATGTCTACTATATCAAGTAATAATGAACAAGTGAAAAACCCGCTGACATAACTTACAATAGATGTAATACTTTATAAAACAGAATAGAAAACACTGCTGGGATTTCATATGATACTTTAAAATATTCCATTGAAACCATTACAGATCCCAATATCCAGGCAAGATTAATTGTTTTCTGGTTGAACAAGAAATAATTAAAGGAAAGTTATTGCTTTGGAATTTATCTCTGGCAAGGAACAATCTTTCTTCAATTTGCAATGGCAATTTCCAGAGAGATATGCTGCTGTGTCAGGTGGAGGGAGCTTTCTGTAAATTAACCAGGGATCCTTATGGAGCGTAAGTCAGCAAATAATGTGATATGGAACTAATAATAAAATACAGAACAAAATATACTGTTCTGTTGGATTTAAATAATAAAAAAGTATGTGACAAAGTATATGTGCACATTTCATAAGGCAAAATTCTTTTGGTTATCATGGAGGAACAATGCTTCTAATGAATCTTTAAAATATCAAAATTATTGTATACAAGCACCAGAGGCCTCAAATTGAATTTCTTGAAAAATACATTATGTAAAAAAAATATAAAATATCTCTATGAACTTGTAAAGCTGAATAAGAAAAATGAAAATCATTTTCAAAAATATATTTTATTGAACAATGTAAAAGAAATTTAATGAGCCAGTATTAAAAATATAAAGTTCTTATTCAAGGGTATATGTTCATGGAAAACTGATATTAAAGTATAATTCTTTCACTCATTCTTTCCTTTTTGTTGCCTTTTACCATATGTGAAACCCAGCGCATAATACTACTGAATGCTTTCAAGGACTAAATAATTTATTCTTTCACATGTATACAAAGAAGAGCTGTAGCCTTCCATTCATTGAGAACATGGCAACAGGCAGAGACCAGTTTATCCAGGAAAGAAGACTTTATTGCAGCATTAAATGTTTCTTTACATTCAATAAATTTTATCCATTTCAATTTGATAAATTGATTCTAGGAAGTCTAGATTGCAAAGAGAAAGCTTTTAGGGACAATATCCTTGCCCTTCTTAAGAGACAAAAAACTTGACCAACTGCATGAAATTGAAACTGGATTTAGTCAAAAAGATAAGGAATGAACTGTTTCCTGGTATCAGAGATCATGAACTCCCCTCATCTCCCCTCATTTTTAAAAATCATTCATATGGAAGGATGTCTGCATAATTTTATTTTAATTTTAACATAAACTAACTTGATCCATACCTTTCAAATAAATGAACAACTGAAACAATTATTTTTTGCACTTTCAAAATTTTCTGACTCAGTTTTGAGATTAAAGAAAACCCATATCACATTTATTTTAATAAGCATTTTAATGCAGATTTTTTTTGTTCACATTATCAATACTGTGATAGCAAGAGATTGACCGTGGTAGCAAAAAAGCAGGTTGCTGCCTCTTGTCCTACTATTATTCCTATCCTATGTCAACCTACCAATTTATCTGCTGCTGTTTATATGCATCCCAATTCTTGTCGTCTTCACTCCAGTGGCAGAGCAGCAAGGTCTAGGACAACTCGCCATAGTTGATTCCCCATGGGACAATTCAACGTGGGACAATTCAAGAGAGGGACAACTTGAATTGCAGGGCCTTGTCTTGATTTTGTTCTGCCCCAGCTATGGACCCCAAAAAATGCAGAAAGTCCGTACAAACCTTAGTTTACTAATTAAGGACTACTAATGAGCTTTCTTAGTAGTTGTTCGAACACAACTACAGTTTAAATCAGTCTTTTCTGAACAAGAGCTGTTAATTTAACATCATTAACAGCCGACAAGAATCCAAAGAATAGTAACTCAATTCTGAGGCACAGCATTTCAGATAACCGTAATCTTACTGTGGTTGGCAGAATGCCCAGAAGCAATTTGCAGGAAAACTGACAAGAGATAAACGAGAGCCGAATCAAACGTTTCTGGAATCAAGATGTGAAGGAATATGAACGAAGTTGTTTTCTGCAAATTGCATCAGTCGTCATCCTTCCTTAAATAGGCTAGGGGAGTGGCCAATTAGCCCCAAGCCTTACTCTCGAGGAGACCTCCTCCTGAGGAGCCACTCCTGCCTTTTAACAGCTCTGTGTGCTCATGCATCGAGAAGAAGCTCCTCCTCTTCTTCCTCTTCACTTATGGGAGTTTCTGGAGGTTCTGAAGGCCCTGGCTGAATCCCTGCCTCTGGTACCACATCTTCTCCAGCCTCCTCATTGTCTGACTCAAGCAGCCTGCACAGGCTGCTGGCGCAGCACCACATCAGCCTCCTTGCTGTCAGAATCAGCTACTAACTACACAGGCTGCTGACAGGCCACAACAAATTTAGGTTTAAATCTTCTCAAGTTAGAAGTCCTAGAGGGTGGAGTGAACAGTAATTCTACTTGTCCCTCTCTTGAATTATCCCCCATTGAATGGTCCTGCAGTGAGTTGTCCCATGGCAAGTTGGCCGTGGCAGGTTGTCCTGCGGTGAGTCAGTTGCAGTGAGTTGTCCCATTCTTCAGAATCTAAAGATTATTTAGGATGGAAATGCTCTTTTCTTTACCCATTTGTTACCTAAAGTACCACCGGACTAATTGAATTGTAAGATTCCAGGTTAAGAATCATCCTTTCATTTTCAAAGTTCTTAGATTCAGGGAAGGGTAAAAAAAGTCCTTTTACGGTGAAGCTAAATCTAAACTGGTGCCATTCCTGCTTTATTAGACGCACTGATAATGTGTGTTCCAAAAGTTATTCATCAGGTCTTATTTTTACAAGGGAATGCAGTGCAAGAGCAGCTGGGAGTTGGGATAGTTCATCTCTGTAATTGATAAGAGTTTGAAATGCTAGTGGCAAATGCGCAAGCAAATTATTGCTCTGCACGCATTGTCAATGGATGACAAGCAATCAATAGTTAAGAAAATAATGGAAATATACAGATTAACAGAATTGGAAGGGACCTTGTAGGTCATTTAGTCCAACCCCAGCCCAAGCAGACCCTAAACCTGTGATGGTGAACCTATGGCACGTGTGCCAGAAGTGACATGCAGAGCCATCTCTCCGGGCATGTTGCTCTTCCGTGTTCCGGCGGGCCATCCAGCTGATCTTCACACATGCAGGAGTGCTGGAAACCAGAAGAGCAGCCGCCCGGTACACATGCGTGCGCTGGGCGGCTGCTCTTCCGGTTTCCGTCACACGCATGTGCACAGGCCACCTGGTCTTCCGGTTTCTGGCGCACATGTGCACATGAAAACCAGCTAGCCAGTGCGCATGCATGTGCCAGAAACCGGAAGATCATCTTCCCAGCACACGCATGCACATCAGGCGGCTGCTCTTCTGGTTTTCGGCACATGTGCAGGTGCACGTGTGCACACTCTTGTTTGGCACTCAGAGCCGAAAAGGTTCACCAACACTGCCCTGCACCATTTCTGACAGATGGCAGTCCAGTCTCTTCTTAAAAATCTCCACTGATGAAGCTCCCACAACTTCTGAAGTCAAGCTGTTCCATTGATTGATTGCTCTCATTGTCAGAAAATTTCTCCTTATTACCAGGTTGAATCTCTCCTTGTTCAGTTTCCATCCATTATTCCTTGTTTGGCCTTCAGGTGCCTTGGAAAACAGATTGACCCCTTCCTTTCTGTGCAGCCCCTCAATATGCAACTCAACCTTGTTTTCTGGGATAACTGCAATCAAGCAGCCAAATGAAGAATTGAATAAAAATACAGCTATTAGACAACTGGACATAGACCACGTTTGTGCCATTATTAAAAAAGAATATATTTTTATTGTTACTAGTTAAAAAATTCTACAATACTTTTCCAATAGCTCAAAGTGATTCAGAAACATAATGAGGGATTATTTAAACTTAATTTATTTAAGACATTGATATAGAGTACTTCATCCAATAAATTCCATAACGGCTATCAGCAGTAACCAATAATGTGTAAAAGAAACCCCTTAATATCCATTGTCAATATGCTGACCAAACCTACCACATAAACCAAAACGAAGGGTGTATTCTGTGAATCCTTACAAAAAAAATGAGGAATTCATATCATGGAAGCCACATCCAGAAGTGCCCTGGGCTTTGTCTATTAAGCTGTTAAAACCAGGCATGGCCTGATCTGTGCAGTATATCCAGCTTGCCCGCTAATATATAAATGGTTCCTTAGAAACACCATCCCAACAATTGAGGCAGAAAATTCTTACATGAGATCTAGAATCACAGAGGCAGCCAAAGCAATTAGCATAACTTCAATAAAGTGTGGCCACTAGTAAACTGCAATAATTGTGTTTTCATAGAAATCTTCCAAAGTACATATTTATTTGTCTTACATTAATTGTTGTTGATGTTCTGATTCCAAGTGAGAGGATTTTTCCCCCCAGTGGGAAGTTCCTGCAAACCTTGTCTCCAAGTAGCTAAAGTGAATCACTACCCTGAAGAACTTTCTTCCTTTGCAACGGTTTGTAATCATCCAGTCAAAATGTAAAACTTAAGAAATGTAAGGATAACATTGCTGCGGCATTTATATCATTTCTGCTAACAATGAAAGACTGAAGAAATTGGAGACAGGAGCAGACAACTCAACAGTGTTAAAAGCAGGCTAATGATAGGGGATGAATAACAAAGAAAAGGGGGTCAATCTATTCTCCAAAGCACCTGAAGGCAGGGCAAGATGGAAATTAATGGATGCAATGGATTGAAACTAATCAAGGAGAGATACAACCTAGAAATAAGGAGAAATTTCTTGAAGGGAGAACAAGTAATCAGTGGAATGGCTTGCCTTCAGAAGTTGTGGCTGCTGGATCACTGGAAATTTTTAAGATGAGAATGGACAGCCATTTGCTTGAAATGGTACAGGTCTCCTGCTTGAGCATGGGTTTGAATTAGAAGACCTCCAAGGTCCCTTTCATCTCAGTCATTCTGTTCTATTAGCAAGCAGGGTAGCACAACTTCTCCAGCTCAAAAACCTACATGCAAATATTTGCAACACTATGTCATTAATTTAAAGTTCAAATGTTCAAGTATGAATCAATCACCTCCTTGACTCTACTTTCATTGGACAGAACACAGGAATTATGATCAATATTCTACATAATACAATCTGACTTACCTTTTTTTCCTGAAGGGGAAAGAGTTGGAGTCTTATTTTTTTAAAAAATGAAAGGAAAGAAAGAAAATGGAATACAAAGCAGAGCGGGCTAGAATGCTTTTGCAGAAGCCTTTAGATTCCTGAACACTAATCTTTTCACTCACTTGTCAATAAACATTCTTCCTGGCTGCATCACCATTGCTGGGGATCCATCTTGGAATGGGGGGTCCCGGAGAATTCTGTATCTCACAGGTTTGCAGTTTGAACAAAGGAGACTGTGTGGTGTGGAGATCAACTGTGCAGCATCTATCTCCATCTTCTCGTCAAATGTATAAATCTTTATGCCAGACACCTTCTTGGTTAAGTTCAGTTTCACTGTGAGGGGAATGTCACAGAATGTATCCATTGGTCCAAGGTGTACAGAATCCCCCTGCTCTGTCAGGATCTCAATGTCTGACAGCGCTTTGGAATTGGTGGAGAAATTTGTGGTCCATATCAGCAAAGAGTCAGAATACACAGGATATAGAAAGTAGAGCTCCAAAATGCAACCAAGAGGCTTAAGGCAAGGAGTGGCCATGCTCACATTAAACAGATTAAATTCAGGGCTCCAGGCCTGCAAACTGGTTTCACAGAGTTGAGTTACATCTGGAGGACCTAGGAAGACAAAAAGAATGGAAGAGTTTTCTGGATAAGCAAAGTGAAGTGGAATTGTAAAAGCAGGGTCATAGCGACATGAGAAAGGAGATATAGAGATTTGGAAATAAGGTCTACCATCTCTTAATGAGCCCATTTTTAAAATCCACTTCAAATTTAATTTCTGATACTGACATATAAATAAATTTATATAAATAAGTTGGCAGAATTAGCCTGCAATACAGCATTGCACCACCAAGGCTCTAATTGCTAAGGGCCCCCAGGGGAAATAAAATAAAATATTTTTTCTGAAGAGGAATTTCCCTTGCCTTTCAAGGGAAAAATATAACAAATATCTCTGTGTTAATTTGTAAAAATTCTTCCCCATATGAAAGGACATGAATCTTTCAGACTTTAGACTTAGATTTAGTCCAGGACATATTACAAATGAATTTTCAGGTTTCTGGAAGTCACACTCAAAAACAACAATATAATAACTAATTTTATATTACTTTTTTCCTTTTGCAAAATTTCAACTTACATACAAAATGAATAAATTAAGCTTGTGGAATCTTCATATGCTAATTTATAGTTTGCATTTTGCACTGCTAACAACTAATATTTTGCTGTTCAGTTTCATGGGCACAACCTAGGGATCACCTAGCACCGCTGAACTTGGGGCAAACAAGATACCTCCTATATATAATTATAACTGTCTCCTATATACAGTGTCAAAGAATGCCTGAGACAGAAAGAAAAAAAAAATACATAATCAGCAATGCTGCATAATACCACCTGTATGTATATATATATACTGTATACTTTTTTCTTCCTCTAATTGTGTCCAATTCTGAGTCTACCTGGACAAGTCCCTGCAGTTTTCTTGGCAAGGTCTTTCAGAAGCAGTTTGCCATTGCTTCTTTCCTGAGGTTAAGAGTGAGGGACTGCTCCAAATGTCTTCAATCACAAAGTGGACTAGAAGTCACAATATCCCAGTTTCTAGCCTTAACCACTCAACCAAATTCTTTCTTTCTATCTATCTATCTATCTATCTATCTATCTATCTATCTATCTATCTATCTATCTATCTATCTCTATCTGCATACATATACACACATAAGAAGGAAGTCATATTTTTTCTTCCTTTGTCATAATGCAGAAGATGGGGGGGGAAAAGAGTTCAAAGAAGTTACAGATCTCTAGTTTATCTTCTTTTCAAGTGAAATAATTGTAAGTCTTTTTGTTTCACAAAAATATCCTTGGCTCCATCTCTTTTCTAAGCACAGTAAAACAGGGCAGAATATTATGTGACCTACAGTTTATCTCCCCACCAGCATCACTAAAACCTTACTGGAAACACAAGAAAATAGAATTGCAGGGAGCATTGGGACAGAAAGATTGGTGGGCACATAAGGATTCAAATATATTGTTCTAGACCATGTTGATTACTGCTGCAAATCCTTCCTCACAATTCTCCTGGCAAATGGATTTAAAGAACAGATCACAAGAGCATCTTACTTCCTGGTCTTTCCCAAGCAATTTCCATTCTGCAATATGGGCACAAAAATGTTCACTTGTTTTTAGCAGTTTGTAAACACTGATGAAATAATGGCTGCGTTCACATAAAGGATTTTGTTTGCTTTTGATCATTAGCCTTATCATGTAGAGTTATGTACAAGGAATCCATTCAATGAACCATGGTTTCAAATCTTTAGTTTTGCATTACAAAAGAATACAGGGAGTCCTTGATTTACAACTCTCCATTTAGTGACCATTCGAAGTTACAACAGTAAAGTGTCTTATGACAATTTTTCACGCTTGCTACCTTTGCAGCGTCTCCATGGTCACGTGATTAAAATCAAAATTATGACAGCTACACTGTCTCAGGGTCATTTGTAATCTTCACAGTTGACTTTCAACAAGCAAAGTCAATGGGGAAAGCCAGATTCACTTAGAGATGGCATGATTCAGTTAACAACTGCAATTATTTGCTTAACAACTGTGGCAAAAAAAGGTTGTAAAATGAGGTGCAATTCAGTTAACAATGACCTCACTTAGCAATGGAAATTTTGGGCTCAATTGTGGTCGTAAGTCAAGGACTGTCTGTACAGTCAATATACTAGCATAAATAACTTATTTATTATTATCCTGGAATGGTGGTATGGGATTCCCTTTTTTATTTTTTTTATAATCTTACCTTTTCTCTCCATCTTTGGGCTCCTGAAGTAACTATATATTCACATACGATAGGCGTACTTCAGTGGTGGGTTGCCCCCGGTTCAGACCGGTTCTATAGAACCGGTAGTAAAACCGGTGGGAGGCTCCGCCCACTGACCCTGACATCATCAGAATGCTTCTGCGCATGCGCAGAAGAGCGTAGCCCCATTGCGAACCGGTAGTAAAGGTAGGTAGAACCCACCCCTGATGTACTGTACTCTCAATAATTTCCAAATAATGTTTCTCTTCCCCCTTTTCTCAATACATACATATCAACTCACCTTTGCAACAGTTCAAATGATCTATAGACTAGGGCCAGAAAGAGAAATTTTACTCAGAATGTTAAGTCAGTCGAAAGCTTGCACTGTTTCTTTTAAAGCTATACAGCAGCATATTTAATTTACATGATATTATACTGATTCATATAGTTAGTTCATTTTGTTTTTGAAGAGAAAAAGAGAACTTGGCTAGATCTCCTCCACCGAATTCACTTCTCAAAGCTACCAAACCGCTGGAGACACTCAAAGACTTTCCACAGCTCCATTGAAGCTCTTCAAGTTTATTTACTGGCCTACATAGACAGTTTTCTGACAGAATACACAGCAACAGCTGATGGGTTACCCAGTCATATCTGATAATCCCTTTGTCATAGGAAAAAAGTTCCAAGACTTTTACCTACTGCCTCCTTTGGAGTCCAATAGCCAGAAGAGTCACAGATTAGAGGAGAAGAGGCTTCATGTACATACTGGCTGAAAGTTCCATCTTCAGCACAATTTCCGCAGAGGTTCCCTGACTCTCTACAAACAGAGAAAAGAAAGGGAGAGAAGGAAGAGAAATGAATGTGTTAATTCCCTTTTCATTCAGACATTTTTTTCCCAGAATTCTACCTAACTTCTTTTAAATTATTAAGTTCCATGCCGCCATCTCAATGTATAACTTTCTACTTATATTTTCATGATTTCCCTAATCCAGATATAGACAAAGTATGAGCATCCTATGTATGTGCCAATATTGCATCTTATTTCTTAGATCAGAGGTCTTCAAACTTTTAAGACTTGTGGACTTCAACTCCCAGAATTCTCCAGCCAGCATAGCATAACTGGCTGGAGAATTCTGGGAGTTGAAGTCCACAACTCTTAAAGCTGCCAAGTTTGAAGACCTCTGTCTTAGATGGTGGGATGCAGGCAACTTTAAGGTAGTCTTAGATCAGAAACATTAATTTTCAAAAGTTAGTATGGGATACAACTGGCTTTGGTGGCACTTCTGGCATATTGAGCAAATATGTCAAACTGATTTATCATTGTTCACATGCTGAATGTGGCACAGCATGACTAAGACTGGCAAGGTAATCTACCCTTCTATCTCTTAATAAAAGCAGTTATTTGAAAGATTCAACTGACAAAAGCTATAATTAATTGCAGAGGTAAACATGAATTGGCCATCTGGTGTTGACCAGGGTATCTTGAAGATTGCAGCTTAACATAGTAGAGGAACAGATGCCAAAGAGCTTGAACTATGCCTGGGATTTCAATCTCGTACACTACCAGAATTATTTGTGAGATGAGCAAACAAGGAATAGGGGGGGAAATGAAAAAAAAAAAAAGAATATATTATGGATCTGTCTTAAGAGAAAGGGGATGCAATGTAAATATAAATGTGACTGAATTTGAACTAATCATATAAAGTGGAACTAAACAATGCATGCAGAGTAATGAATATCTAGGTTAATTATGAATGAAAGAGATGAAATATATATCAGAAAATATTAACTGGTATTATTGAGACTGTTATCAAGGTGCATCTAAAAGTAGAAATTATTTGTTTCTTGACAGATGCATGCTAAGAAGCACAAGGCTGAGAAAAACTGTGCAACCTTTTGAATGAGTAAGATTCAGAGAGAAAATTATTCTAATATATAGCATTTTAGGTAAGAATGAGATGAAAAAGTACACAAGTGCAGAAAAGAAGTGATTGGGCCATTTAGAGACTCAGGAATGAAGAACTGAGATTATTTCATAAAAGCTTACAAAAAGAGTTGTTTCAAGTATGCTGTTTATGTTTATATGCACACATGGCATAGTATTGTCTATAAATCTAAAAGAGCAATGGATTGTTTATGATGAAGAGCTGAGACAATTGGTGGATACGAAGGTAATGTGGAACAGACCATTTTTTGGTAGAGATAATCTTTTGATAGAACATGGAAATAAAGGAAGTAGAACATTTACAGAAAGAAAAAGTGGAAGTCCTACATAAAAAAGTGTTTGATTAGGGGAAAAACCATGGAATCTACTTGGAACAGTACAAAAAGAATTATGTTGTAAAGTGTCACAAACAGAGGAGATACGTTAATGGCTCATATGGAAAAGAATAATACTTGATGGAATGATGAAACAAAAGAGCTGTGAATGGAAAAATGCACATAAGAGAATGATTAAATGAATGATTAAAAAAAGTTCAGAGAAACAAACAGCATCATGTGCATAAAAATAAAAAGATAACTGTAAAATGTATACCTATCAAGAACAAAGAGAAGTTAAGCAAGAGAAGGAAGAATGAAAATAAAAATGTTAAAAACTTAAAAAATCTTAAAAACTTAAAATCTTAAAAACTGAGGGAACTCTGGGAAATACTTCTTAAATCTGTTTGGGAATCATACTGTTGTATCAAAAATGGAATTCAAAGGAAAGCTATAAAAGTTACATCGCCCCCCAAAAATTGAAAGGTCATAAATCCTGTTACAATGTGGAAAAAATGATAAGGATACAGGTGCAAATTTTCTAACTGGAGAAATATTAGAATATAGATTTGGTTTGCTTATGAAATGGTAGCACAAATTATTTAACATATAAAGTATATGAAAATTGCATCTATATCTGACACCTGGAAGAACATTTTCATACAGAAAGAGTGCATACAATGACTTCAAGAGACTAGCTTATTAAATATGCCGAGACAGATTTTTGGAAGACATAGAATTGAAAAAAATAAAGGGACAGCAATAATAAACAATATTTGAAAGGTGTAGTGTGATTTTATGCTGGGCAGGAGGTATGCAGTGTGGTCTCTCTAGTCTTCAACAGTCACTACGAAATGTACAAGTGTGAAAATAAAAGTTTATTGTAAATTCTAGGGATTAAAAGGAATCATACAATAGAACAAACTGGCAAGAGTTATGGTATGTTTTGTATGAATGTGGAAGTGAAAACTGGTTGTTGAATGTGAAAAAAGATATATGAAAAAAGCATGAGTGAAAGTAAATGGAATACTTACTGAATAGTTCAGTAATAAGCATGGATTAAGACAGGGAAGTGTGATCTTTTAAGTGATATGCGAAACTAGTAGAAGCAATGTCGATTTACAAAGAGATTAAAAAAAGATTTACATATGGAAAGGTGTTAATAGCAATGGTATTGGTTTAAAGTAGTATTCACTATTTTTCTTTTTCTTGTCCTTACTTCGTGCCTTTAAATTACTTGGCTCTTACACTTCTTCTGTGCTCTGCATACTTTTACTTACCCCTAAAGAGATAGCATGCAGTTATATATGTGGCAAGTGCGACATAGCAGAAAGATTGAGATTTTGTTGTGTTTTTTTTACAGAAAGGATCCTGTTTCTCTTGTTCTGCTGCCACCTGCTGCATGTATCTCAGTCCAATAAGAAAGAAAATCAAGGCAACCCGAGATCTTCCTCTTTCACCCAAACACATGCACTCTCAAACTTTCAAAATGCTGAAGAAATACTCCCTGAGTCAGTAAAACCAGCGAGTAAAATGCCTGCCACTCCTAAAACTGAAGAATATGCCAGGGGAGTTCAGACATGTTGGCTTTCTCTCTAGATGTAGTTTGTGATTTACGTTTTCTTTGGACGTAATCCAAATAACATTACCATTTTTCCAAGAGAAAAAGCTAACGAAAGAAATTTGATGGCTGCTAGAAACAAAAGCTAGGCAGCCAACCAAGAACTTGATGGCTAGAAAAACTACTATTTATCCATCCTCCTCATTAATTAGAAAAATGCTGCTATCTAAATATATTGTATAACTATCATTGTATTGAAATAACATATTATACCAAAACTGAAAAGATGGAGCAGTAGACTAGATTTCACAATATATTAAAGAATAAACAGACTTACTGTCCCAGGGGGTAGGATCAGAATCACTGGGTTAAATATATGAGGATACTGGATCAGGCTACACATCAGGAAGAATTTCATGTCTGTATAAGCTGTCACCCAATAGAATAGGCTGCCATATGTAGTGGGGAATTTTCCTTCACTAGAAATCTTCAAACATGGCCTAGATTGTTATTTGACACAGATATACTACTAAATCCAGACTGAGCAAAGGATGGATTAGATGAGCTCTACAGGATGACCATCATCCCTATACTCTTGTGGCTCTATGATTCTATGAAAAGCTGTTTCAGTCAGCATCAACAGCAAGATATACCTTGTTTCCATGAAGCTTTCAACTACTGGGGATAAATGTTCTCGATAGACATCACGATCTCCGGGACATTTTAAAGTTTAAAAAATTTTTATTTTAAAACTTGTGCTAAGCTTTCGTCAGCCCCTACTGACTTCGTCAGAGTATAAAATCACCATTGAAGAGTTGCTTGCTTTTATGTAATGCTGATCAATTTGGTCATTGCGCGTGTAACAGGCCCACACCCTTGCCTTCCCCCTGTAATTATCTTATTTTCTGCCTTAGTCATGCTGACAGATGACAATGCACTTTCCCCTGCCTCCTGCCCCATTGTATGTTGTCTCTTTCTCTCCCTGGGGGGTAACGCAGGGTTATCAGGCATTGCTTTGAAGGTATTACTCCAGGGAGTACCTGTGGGCCTGTTACACGCGCAATGACCAAATTGATCAGCATTACATAAAAACAAGCAGCTCTTCAATGGTGATTTTATATTCTGACGAAGTCGGTAGGGGCCGACGAAAGCTTAGCACAAGTTTTAAAATAAAAATTTTTTAAACTTTTAAACGTTCCGGAGATCGTGATGTCTATCACTTCTTCTACAACTATACCTGGAACTCGCATCAAAAAATCAACCAATCAAAAAAGTGCATGCACATTCAATTCAGTGATAGTTTTCTGGCTAAAGGATGGCAGTAGTGCATCATGTTTGTCCTGCTTATTTCCAAATTCTGAATTCATACCTGCAGTTATATATACATCTCCAGCATAGCTCCATGTCTCCTGTCTATTACTGCAAAAAGATCAAAATCCGTTCACGTTTGGAATAACAGCTGTATAAATAAGTGTCTGTTCCCCTAACTCCCCTCATATATAAAGTCCAGAAAAGATTTTGCCAACTGGCAAACAGCTGCGAGCAATTGCCAAATCATCTTCATCACCTTCTTTGCCTCCTTAAATTCCTCAGTAGAAGGCCAATGCAGCTTTCCCAAGGTACACATGTTCATGTAAACAACTTCCCATTGAAAGAACTACGTGCGCACAGTGATGAAAGGGGACAACAGAAGGAACACTGCAAATCATGGTCAAAACAACGTTGACAAAATCAGTCTGCTGGGGTATTGCTGGGTCAAGGATCTTGCCTGCTCCAAGATTCTTAACATGGTCCTCTCCAAATATCTTGAAGTGCAATTCTCATGGCCTTAGGTCAAGTTAGCTAAGCATGCTAGGAATTAAACATACATAAAAAAACACCAAGGCTGGAAAGATTGGTTTTAAGGTGTATTTTTTTTTCGCAGCAGAGATTGCTGTATATATTCTGTAACCTCTGAAAAACAATGGCCCAGCACTAATCCCACCTCTAATACAGCAGGAAACACTAAAATGTTGCCCCTTCTTAATTTTAAAGGGAACATTTTCAATCTGAATAAACTTCCAATTTGCTATTACATCCAAAGATAAACTGTGATTTGAAGCAGCTTGCTTTTAAGTTTAAGCAAAGTTAAATATATAACTCATTAGTTTGATTTATTAAAAAAGAAAGAAAGTGAACAATTCTACTATTCTCATCGCAGCACCAGAAGAGAGATGCTGTAATGCGAATAACAGTAAAGCATTAAATCTGTATAATAGTAAAACATAAAGAGGCTTTTGGAATATATTACTAGGAGGATTAGCAAGAAAGAAATTGGCTCAAAAGGGCTCAGTGGTGACAGCAGCAACATCTGGATTTCCATGGACCATGTAAGTACCACTATTTTAGATTTTCAGCTTCATTTTATGTCAAATGTTCTGGGGCAGTGCACAAGGAACAATTAACTTGCTCTCATACATAATAAAATGCAATTGTTAATCCAAATGATGTACCAACAGGATTTCTCAACATCTTGAAGTACAGGGACCACCTTCAGCTCATCCTTCTAGTTGGTGGAGAAGAACATTCTGTGAGAGAACAGTTGAAGCACCTCAATTCCTGTTTAAATTTTCCTTTTTCCTATCACCACAATCCATGGATCTCTGTCTCTCTCTCCCTCCCTCCCTCCGTGAGTGAGTGAGTGAGTGTGAGTGTGTGTGCGCGCGTGTGTGTGTGTGTGTGTGTGTGTGTGTGTGTGGTTTTCTAAGATTCCTACCATTCCTTCACCTACCACTACTCACTTACCTTTCATAAAGCATTCCACTAATGGGAGGTAACCAGTGTATGGTGAGCATATCCTGGCTCTGACCAACTACCATCGGCGGCAAAGGGACAGGAGTGGGTTTCCTGCTCTGAGTCCACTGCTGGTACACCAGATCCAGATAGCAATGCATTCGTGCCACTTGATTTGGAGTAAAACTGTCTGTGCAATTATCATCTGTGGGAGTCAGAAAAGCAGCTTACTAAACAATTTGAAAAATGGATTCAGATAAGGAGTTAGGGCAAGAAATCTAAGTATGGTAAATCCCTTTCATGGCCAGAGAAGACATCTTATTTTAAAAACCTAGAATAAAACTAGATCCTGTAATATCCTTTTTGCCCAGTACTATCATGTTTATTGCAATTTCGATCCTTTTTCTAAAACTAAACCAAAATGCATGGTTATTGTGATTATATACATTGCTACTTGGTCTTGGAACATTTTTTTAATCTTTCATCTATTTGAATATCCATCCTCTCAACTCTTTCTAGCTCATTTGCTTTTTTAGATCTTTTCACCATCCCAAAAATTCTCCTGCACATTTTTTTAGAATATTTACATTCTCCCTAACATAAATGCCTCTAAAATTTTGCCTGCTTGTGTTATTCCTTCCATTTGCCAAAAGATGGCACTCCTTCTGTAGTATTTAATCATATATCCTCTGGTGAGTGATCAATAGTGTTGTTTTTCTTGCTACTGAACACCACAGACAACAGTGAAGCCTAGGGAGGAAGAAAACGAAAAGCATAAATAATGCATACATTTTCAGAAATAATGAATGAGTGATCTCCGAGGTTCTGAACAGAGGAAACACAGTACTCAAACACTGTCAATTGACCTCAGTCTGAAACCCAACAGGCTGCTTTGCCAAGATGCCCCCAAACTGAAGGAAATGGAAGAGGGGTAATTATCTCTAATGTAATATAATTGAATGCCCAAGCATAAAAAAGAAAAAATAATGAAATATAGAATACTGACACTGGATTCAACAAAATATAGCTTCTTGCAGCATATGTTAATAATACACATAGTGACAATATTCCAGCCTCTTTCAGAACTCAATCTCATATAAAGGATTCCCTGCAGATTTTACTCAGTTAGTTGTTGCTGACTATAGGGGGCCTTGCTCATCTCCATTTCAAGGCCATTGCGTCAGCGTAGTCCGAAGACATTTCCGCAGTCATGTGGCCAGCATGACATCACAGAGCACTATTACTTTCTATCTTCAATCTTCTACATAATGCTGAGAATTTTTTTAAACAAATTTAGGATGTCACCAACAGGATGCCTTTTCCTGTTTTACTAATACAGAAGAGACAGTCAAGGTTCAGAACCAGCCCTTCATCAAGCCACAACATTTGTTTGGTAAAGTTGATAATCTGAGATTTGACAAGAGAGAGGTCCTGCTTTGCAGAGTTTCATCTTGAATGGTTAAATGTCTCTTTCTTTCTTTCTCTTTCTTTCCTTCTTTCCTTCTTTCCTTCTTTCTTTCTTTCTTTCTTTCTTTCTTTCTTTCTTTCTTTCTTTCTTTCTTTCTTTCTTTCTGACACCCTACTACTAATGGTTCTAATGAAAAACTTGTGCTATTCTAAAATCTAACCTTCTCACTGCATTCTCTAAGGGCAATATTTCAAACCTCTGTTTTTAGCCCTTAACGTTTTACTATTTTCAGACTGTACTCCTCGTATATTCCCCTATCTATCTAAGGATCTTCATATGAGCCCTTTCTTCATATGAGCTCCTGCCAGATGAGGCAAAGTGAGTGGCCCCCAAAAAGGCTTTTTTTCATAAAGACTCTACTGGTGGAATGATTTCTCCAGCACCTGTATTACGGCTTTTTCAGTATTACATCAAATATTTATTTTTGGATGTATTTCAGCAAGTTTAGACTGCTAAACTGTTAGACTGCTTTGTTTTAAGTATCTACTATCTACAGAACCTGTCTGTCTGTCTGTCTATCTTATTTCTATAAATCAAACTGCTATTATTAAGACACAGAAAAAGGCCACATTTTCCAGTTCCCTTAGCAGCCCTATGAATTAAATACAATTAAGTCTATATGATGGAATCTGTTCATTCTAGTTTTATCCCCAACTGTCCCATGCCTATGTCTTCCCTACAGTTAGGATCATAAAGTCTTTGCAGACATAGTGCTCTCTTTGGTTTTGACACTGATAAATCTCAGATTTAAAAAGCCCAATCCCTAATTAGTGTTTATATACACACACGTATTAAAAAACGTCATTCAGTTTCACTCAGTTGACAAGCACCATGATTTCAAGAGACAGGAAACTTCAAAAAACTTATCGTTCTAAAATACCCTCTCTGAAATGTTAATGCTGTTCTTTACTGTAAAGGCTGTATTACTATGCCTTTAATAATAATCCAATATAGCAAGATAAAACAGATAAGTGTTGGGATTGGTTTCTACTAACATGCTTTGTTGTAGCTGAAAGCACAGAAATTGAGCAATTAAAATTGACAGCCAATTCAGATGAAATGAATGACTTCTTGGAGGCTGAACGTTGTTCATCTTCTAAGTGCTACAGACATTTCTGTCATTCCTTATAAGGATTTTTAAAAAAATTAGGAGGATTTCTGTTATTGAGGCGCATGGAATTGGATTTCAGATGGCAGACAGACTGCTTTGAAGAGCTAGACAGAATAACCCACTGGACATCTTATATTCCTGATATCCTTGTAGTACTTTGAATCCTTGGCAGTCTATGCTTGCACGAGTCGACAGTTGCAAAGATGGTATAATTTTTGCAATGGAAATGAAATTCCTTTAATGCATATTATTCTAGACCCTCCTGGAACTCAGAAAATATTTCAAACAGGCAAATCTCCCAACCGAATGTATAGGATTATGCAGCACAGTCCTACCACACAGGTGGACAAGTGCTTTGCTGTTGCCATCAGTACATCCCCCATTCATTGTTGTTCTGCACAGTAAATGCAGAAGGGGGCGTGAGGGCTAGAAGTTACCACTTTATTTTTCAACCAGTTCCATTCATTAGAACTAAAACTAAAGATACCTAATTTTTTAAACACAAGAGCTTGTACTTATTTTATTTTCCTTTTATTCTGCCTTTATTACTTTTTAAATAACTCCAGATGGTGGACATACTTAACACTCCTTCTGCCTCCTATTTTCTGCACAATAATCATGTGAGGTAGGTTGGGCTGAGAGAAAGTGACGGGCCCAAAGTTACCAAACCAGCTTTCATGCCTAAAGTGGAATTAGAACTCACAGTCTCCTAGTTTCTAACCTGATGCCTTAACCATTAGACCAAACTTATCCCCAATACTTCTTAGAGAAATCAGGGCAGCTAGGATTTTGCCATTCACATTCTAGCTGTCATGTTTCATGGCTCTCAGCATCTCCAGATTGTACATGCCAGTTGATACTCACCTCTGAACCTGATGAAGGAATAGTGCTTTTCCCCCTTACCTGTGTAGCTCATATAATTGCTGAAGGGAGTTCCAGAGAAAGCGGTATGGCCACAGGTGTCATTGATAGGTTCTGGATCCTGACAGACTTTGCTTTTGAGTGTTGGTGCGGTGTCGGCACAGAGATCTCCAGTTTCCATGGATGGTGTTGTCTCCCTGCATGGATCATCACAGGAGTCTTTTTCATCCACACCCTTAAAGACATGATAGAGTCCCAAGACGTGTCCTATTTCATGGATCATAGTATTTGTATGACCTGGCATCCCGTAGTAAGCTGGATTTAGAACTACTCCACCTGAAATTGGAAGTGAACTAAACATGATCCACAGAGAATATGGGTAAACAATCTTGAAATCTGAGATAAATTAATATATATCTGTGCTCAAACACCATGGAAAGTAAGCTTTACATAAAGGGCTCTTTATGGTCCACTTGTCCATATATTAGCATTCTAAGTAGATAAGCAGGTGGGAAAGCTGTTTGAAGTAAGGGCCATCCAAAGTGAGCACAAGATGACTAAACATGTCTCCATGGAGAGCGGAGATGACAATTGCAGCAGAGACCAGTTCTTTAGACACACTCTGGACCTTCTTCAGAACTTCTCCAGACAAGGAGAGGACTGGAGATCACTCACATGTACCCCAAATGGCTGTTCCTTGCAAGTAGACTACAAGATAGCAATCTCAACAATCTGAGTGCCAAGAGACAAAGGGATTAATAATCAAGCTCACAACAGCAGTGGTATATTTTAAAAGACATTAGATTTCCTAACCTTACTTCTAATCACTTTTGGAAATTGCTTATTTAAATATCTTAAGGCTTTAGAGGTCTTTAGAATGGCAAGTCTGAAGAGGCACCTGGTGAATGTAATTTTATTCCTGAACAAAATAAAAAAATAATTATAAATTTAAGAATTTAAAAGAATTTGAAACAAATGGCAAAAGGCTAAACAAGATTTAGAACTAAAAAGTTATAAACAAATTAAGTATGCAGACAAATTTGGAATATTGAAATTTGTACTATAAGATTTTTGAATCAACTATACAAAATGAATACCTTTTTGTGAGAACCAGAATTGTTTTGATTACTACAAGTCATAAAAAGATAAGAGATCTTACGATTTAAATTAAACACTAAAGTCCAGGCCGAAACAACAACAACAACAACCAACAACGTTTGCCTTTAGGATTGCAATTTACAAAATGCCACAAAATACAAAATTTGAAACCTTAAAGACCTTTGAAGAGTGGGGAAGAAAATCTTTAATAAATCTAAAAATTCAGGACATGTGCTAACATCTTTCAAGTATAAGTTAGCTATTTGAGAAGACTCTCCTTCTGAAACCATTCCCTCATTACCTTATAAGTAAGCTTCTCCAATTTACAACCAGAACTCTAGACAAAGATGAATCCAAGTTGCAATCTTTCTCAATCAATGAATATACATCTCAGCATAAACTACAGCTTTAGACTATATTTTCTTATTGGGGATATCCAAAGTATATTAGGAGCAGAACCAAATAAACTAACATAACTGTCAGAAAGAACAAAATAGTGTGTCTTGTCCCAGATAATGAGAAGTACACTTTAAAGCCTTGGTAGTACAGTGGTCTAAGGCACCCTATTATTAAACTAGTTATTAAGACCAGCTGCCTGCAATTACTGCAGGTTCGAATCTCTCCAAGGCTCAAGGTTGACTCAGCCTTCCATCCTTTCTAAGGTAGGTAAATTGAGGACCCAGATGTGGGGGCAATAAGCTGACTTTGTATAAATATACAAAAGGATGAAGGCTATTGCTGAGCCCATTGTAAGCCACCCTGAGTCTCCGGAGAAGGGCGGCATATAAATCAAATTTAAAAAAAAAAATCTTAACTGACTATTTTATAAAATCGGTGACTTTTGGTTGGTTGATTGATTGATTTTTGTTACTATTATTTTTCTCACTTTCTCTGTCTCTCAGAAAAGTAACATATTAAATCTCCAAATACAGGAGAAAGAACAATGAGTATGTTTACTGAGTGTTGTGACTGAGGCCCACGTAGTGATTACCAAACACAATTCAGTCCTGAACAAACTTATTTTATTAAAACAGCTGAGAATTAATTCATTCTCAGCTTTAGCCCAAAACAAATTCTTTGGCCTTATCACCAACTTTTGATGTCTTTGGCAACCTGCCAAAGGCTTTTCTTATCAAAAACCGCATAAAGTTCAAGAGACACTGATAAGAAGCACTGGAATCAACGTTGCTTTTCTACAAAGAACCCAATGGCTCGTTGCTGCTCTTTTAAGCCTTATGGGTGTGACCAATCATCTTCTGGCCTTACTCCCCAAGTTGTCCTTTTTGCTTCAGCTGCTCTTGCCTTCTGGCAGCTCTTCACATGCGTGCATTAGGAACAGACTCCTCCTGTTCCTCTGCCTCTCTGCTGTCTGCCTCTGGAGGCTCTGGAGTCCGCACATCGTTCCCAGATGGCCCTGGCCCCATCTCTGCCTCCAATGTAGAGCCCTCATCTCGGCCTTCCCCTGACTCCAGGACTGGCCCATTGCCCTCCCCAGCCTCCTCACTGTCTAACTCCACTGCCAAGTCCGCAGGCTGCTGGCGGCCCACAACACTGAGGTCACAAGTTACCTTAAAATTGACTATTCCCATCTTTATGTCCAAATGAAAAAATATGAGAGAGTGAGGCCCTGTAAAATTTATCATGATGTTGGACTTCATTCCCTCTTTCTTTATGATCACTAGCTTGCTTTCAAAATGGGAAAATAAAGAAAAGTTCATTTGAGAATCCTCTCCTTTCTTATGAAAGTTTTGGTTAGCTGATGAAAAGCCCAACTGATTATCCCAATGAAAGTCTATGAAAAAGGCCTTTGATGCTTGAACACAAATCACTCTTTTCCCTCTCTTGTATCTGTTGTGGCCTCTTCCATGCATTGTTGCTCTTTATATGTGGGCTTGATATGAATCAGCTGTCACAAATCTTTTAAGCCATTAGCAAGTTGGTAATATTTTTACAAAGGCCAGGACTTTCACATCAAACATGAAAAGTAAGTACTGTGAAATGTGTTCACAAAAGAGATCAAAACCTGAATAAGTATTAATCCTCCTTTTCCAAAGGCCAGTGTTTTGGCAACTCTTTAGGAACAGAGAATTTACCACACAGGAACTTAGTCCATCATAAAATGCTCAGCAGGCTTCAAGTATTCAAGCACCATAGAAGACTTTGATGCCTCTGACAACTTGGAACTGACCAAAAAAGCTGAAAGGTCAATGCTGATTATCAACACAAGACCTGACACTGTGATCTTAAAATCTCAACTTTTCTTAAGCTGACTTGTCTGATAAGGAAGCATTATACTAATGGGAATGGACAGTCATGAAGCATATGTGGGAGAAACTGAAGCTGCTTAAATTTTCTGCAAGACCGCACACACTGATCAATAGATAGTGCAGAAGTTAAAAGCTCCATGTGGAATATGGGCCTAAGCTGAAACAATAAAGCATGACGTGTAGCTAGAAGGTACAACTAGAGTTCTTGGATCATAGCTAATGTTTTTATTATTTTCTTGGGCAAGAAAGTGAGAACCAGATGTATATTTTTACAGGCAAATAGACCTCTCTAAGATGATCAGGCTCCATACAATATTTCTAATATTGAAGAATTGTTCTGGGATGAGATGAGAGAGATCAATTATGTACTGTATAAATGAATATAGAATGAAAGTCCAAGTAAAAATCTAAAAAAATAGTGTGCTTAATGACTTGTAGAAGTAACTATCACAATGCACTATTTTTTGTGAATAACTGGTTCACAAATTCCAGTAACTCCAATCAACGTCCAATAGAATAAGGTACTGGGAGTCCCACAATACGTGGAAAGTTACAAACTGGGCACCCAGGGGGGAAGTATAATTATACAAATTAATAAAGATGAGGTCATTAGTTATGAAAGCAAAACAAAGTCTCTGAATGCAGAAGGTTGCCAATAAATACCAGTGGCTTCAAGGCAAAAATAGGAGAGCCTTTCAGACTTTCTTGTGGGCTTCTTGGAAACATTTGATGGGCCTATAGACAAGGGCCTGGAAGTTGGTCAATTTCAGCAGGGCTGAATCTATCTTCTATCTATCTGACTATTATCTATAATAGTCTATATCAGATATCAGATAGATAGATAGATAGATAGATAGATAGATAGATAGATAGATAGATAATCTATCTATTATTTATCAACTAACTATCATATTTATGGGGCAACCTATTTTATGGAGCAAAATCTGCAGGCTCAGATACATACTTGGCAAATCCATATCAACTTGATTCAAAATTAGTTGAATATCATTTGTATCATGAAAAAAAGCTTGACTACTTTCAAAATTTGTCCTTATGTTGGTGCATGTGTAGTGAAAAGATCACCTATATTATATTTTCAAGAGAAATATCCAAAATAGTTGTCACCTGAGATATTACTGGGTTCAAAAACAAATCTAAACATCTTTTGATTTTCAAATTCTGATCTAATTTTAACATCTTACTTTACCAGCAGATCCGGCTCTGCATCTTCAGTAATATGTATACTGCAATAATTATGGTTGAAAAATATAAAAACATCAGACTAACCAAGGTGTATAATACAATCAGTTCAAACACATGCTATGGCTTGGAATATGTGATCTAAGACAGTATTATTAGTATTTGATATGCTGTTTGAAACAGATGCACTTAAAGGCATATTTCATATTAGCATATTTTAATGCAACCATTGGCATGACAAAATGTTATTTTAGAATAATAATAATAATAAAGCAAAGATAATGCCAATAGTAATAGGCACCTTGGGTACAATCCTAAAACAACAGGAGCACCACTTGAATACCATTGGCATTGACAAAATCACCATCAGTCAATTGCAAAAGGCAGCTTTATTTTGGAACAGTGATATTGTTAACACCATCAAACAACAAAATCTGCCTATTCTGAGTCCTTGTGAAGGATTCAATAGGTGCATAAAACAGCCAAATTCAATCTAAACATCTAACTGACTCTGCAACCAACCATAATAATAATTATTTATTATTATACTCAGCTTGGGCAAAAAGATTGCACAAACAGATGATAAACAATAATGTAACACAGTCACCAAAATGATTCACTGGAACATTGTGAAAATGATCAAAAACTAGTGGGAACATAGAGTGGAAAAAGTAGTAGAAAATGAGCAGGTTAAATATTGTCAGATTTCCGAATACAGACTAATAAAGTATTGGCTCATCATACTCCAGATGTAGAAAGGAAAAAAGTATA